CTAATTGTCATACCATTCGAATTTCATACCAAGAAATTATTTTAACCCAAAAAGCAAACTATGCTCCCTTGAACTGGTTGTCTTTAAAATGCAAATCTTGTGTAATCCCAGGCTATCTGTAACCAGAAGCACATTTAAAACTGGAATATAATTTAATTTCATTCACATGTGTTTCATATAAATACTTTCTGGATTACAATCCGCCATCAAAATGATTTTTTGACATTTAATTATTCTAGCTGCTGTGAGAAAAGGCTAACGATCTGCCACCTGCAGGATCTTCACATGCAATAGCCTACTAGCCGGGACAACTTCTTTACGTTTACAGAAGTGACTTAATGAGGCAGCAGCATGCTCGAATTTCCCTCGAAAACCTACCCGTACCACTCAAATTAGAAAACATTATTATAAGATAACCCTTGTGAATCGGGCTAAAGTGAGACGATCATTTTGAACACTGGCTGATTATGTACTTGCTCAAATATTGATTTTGGATAATTTTTAACCAAAATAAGTTAGGGACTGTAGCTTTAAAATAAGTTTAAGGCAATCGGGTTTGCATGTTTTTTTTTTGGGGGGGGGTTTAGTAAGGTTAACCAATTAAGAGTTTACAGTGCACAAAATTTAAAAAATAATTTATTCTTATAATATATGAAAAGAATGCTTTAAAAACATACCGTGAAGACAGTAGAGAAGAACTCCTGACCGTAGTACACCCATGCTGGACTGGACTCTAGAAACTGAAGAGGCAAAAACGCAGCAAATGATTAAAAAAAAAAGTGTTAGGCTATTGATTTCTTAACAACACATATTTTTTGTCTGGGACACTGCCACTGGATAGGCTTCAGGAAGGTTCAAATATATTAACCTATTATTAACATCTACATCGTTACAAAGCGGACCAAATGCGAACCTTCCCTGTTTGCTGGAAAAGTGTGGAAGAACGCCTTTTTTCACATTCCAGAGTAGTGGACTTACCAAGCGGTTGACGGACAAGCTTTGCTGTAAAGAAATACAAATATAGCTGGTCAAGATAACACTGCATTTGGAAATACTTACATAGTTCGGTAAAGTTGGCAAGATATTCACAGATTCGACTTTTCCGGATCGATAAATCAAGAGCAAAACGTTTTTACTGCACAATTGATGACTCTTTTCTTTCGTAGTGATGTTGAAAACGAGCTACAAGCGAGTTTTCCTCGAAACAAGCTTTCCTCCTCTCTGTACAAAATGCGCTGGCTTCTGAGGGAAAAGTCCAAGGGACCGACTGCAAAGTGCGAAACGCGAAAAATTTTACTAATAAAATAATAACTTCACAGTAACAGGCAGTAGTGTCACCAAACTCAGTTCACACATCACTGCTCTCCTGCTTGCTATACTACAACACTTATTTTGAAAGTAATTGCTTTGACACATGTTTTTTATGAAAAATAGTTAATAACTTTACCATAACACACTGTACTTTCACCAAATTCAGTTCACACATCACTGCTCTCCTGATGGTTTTACAACAACAGTTATTTTTGAAAATAATTGGTTTTACACATTTTTATGATTTTTTTTTATTATGACAAATTAATAACTTCACTATAACACCCTGCACATTCACCAAATTCAGTTCACACATCACTGTTCTCCTGCTTGTTATACTACAACACTTACTTTGAAAATAATTGCTTTTGAATTATTTTTATGATTTAAAAAAAATATTGTATAAATGCAGTTACTAGACAAAATAGTGAGCGCGTTTACATGCACGTTCTTAAGCCGATTATGCTTAATAAGCCGAAAATGCACATGGTCATGTAAACGCGGTAACCCGTTTTCTTTTATCGGAGTAAGGTCATAAACGGGGTAAGCATAAACTGGTCACAACAGGTAGTTTTTTGCCTCTTACTCCGATTTCGCACGGCATGTAAACGCAATAACCCGCTTTCTGTCGGCTTATTGAAGTGCATATGTGTGATAAGTGACAGGAACGCATGTTAGTGCAGATTTAAGCGCATCTAGACCGAGCAAACGTCTTGCAGTAAAGAAAGAAGGAAATATATAACAAAAGCAGACTTTTTCATGACTCAGAAAATGCTAAAAATGTGTTCTCATTTCGTGCAGCAGAAGTTGAAGTGGTTCAATCACAATGCTGCGTTTATATCTGCATGAGAGTATAATGAGCTGTAAGTATCCCGACATGTTGCAAGCTTAATTTAACATCATAACTGACACCATGGAAATGCATGGAATACTCCGAGTCAGATACGCAAATGATTATATTTTGACGTCACTACATTTTTTCCCCACAGGAACAACAGGAGTGGCCCAGGGACTCCAGTCAACTTTTGAAAGTATTCCTTCATCTTCCAACCGATTCAGCTCAGTTTCCAATTTCTGGCGAATAGCATAGGGAACGGGCCTTGCCTTGTGAAACTTTGGAACAGCCTTCTCCTCCAAGGTTATCTTCCCCTTGATATGCTTCAGAGTTCCTATTCCTGATTGAAACACCGCGGCAGCCCTGTCCAGCACTTTTTCCAGTTTTTCTTGAGTGCACAGTGATGTAGGAACTGTGACTTGCAGACTTTTTATAGATTTCCAGTTCAACTGCAACTTCCTCAACCAGTCACGTCCCCAAAGTGCTGGTCCCTCCGTTCGGACTATGTACAGATCCAACTCAACTCTTCTGCAATGAGCAGCGGTTTTGGCGCTAGATGCTCTTGCATTACTTTCACAATGTTGTCAAAACTAAGATCGGCAGGCTTTGCGGGAGCAGTGAGGCTTCTCAGCAGTGCATAAGCTTTCCCTCCTATCGCACTCAACAACACTGACACCCGCTTGCCATTTTCAATGTCATTAGCTTTGAAATACTGCTCGATTCGTTCACAGTACAAAGTCCAATCGTCCGTAACATTGTCAAATGCATCAATCTTTCCGATATATCCTGCCATCCTTCTGCTTTCACTTACTATTTCGTGCTGAACCTATCTCTCAGTCTCCGTGAGTCTAGGTTTTTTCTCTCTCTTAATCACTTCTCCCAGGAAAAAAAACGCCCACTCGAAAAAAAACTAGGAGAAAGCGCTTCCATATAATTCCTTAAAATCCTCGTCGCCAACTGTTGTGTTTGTTCGAAGTAACACAAATAAAAGTACGAGACAACGATGGGCAGTTCTTCTTTTTTATTTTACTGTTCAACAACCGAACACCAGCTCCGTTAACACAGGTGTCCTCCTTGGACAACCAACTGGCCAACCAGAATCTAACCCGGAGTACCCCAACAGTACTTGTACTTTATTCTGGGTATATTCAACTCAATACACTACAACTGTAACACACAACTGTACCTTCACCAAATTCAGTTCTCACATCACTGCTCTCCTGCTGGTTTTACTACAAGACTTATTTTGAAAGTAATTGTTTTGACACATTTTTTATGATTTTTTTTATTATGAAAAATAGTTAATAACTTTACTGTAACACATACTTTCACCAAATCCAGTTTACACATCACTGCTCTCCTGCTGGTTATACTACAATACTTGTTTTGAAAATAATTGCTTTGGCATATTTTTATCTATTATGAAAAATAGTCATTAACTTCACTGCCCATGTGCGCGCTCAAACTGTGTGCTTTGCACTTGCAAATCTGTGCTCTTGCGCTAGAAATGAATTCTCTTCTCACCTGGATTAAACCTCGTCAGAAGTTATTAACAAATCAGACTTCCATGACTGACCGATTAAAATGCTATGTGAAATCGAATTAGCTGGAATTCTTTTGACAATCAAAGATGGATCTTTAATTTCGTTACAATTTAATATTTAGTCATATTAATCAAAAGTATATTCGAAATGGCTGGGATTTGGGTGCTTGGATGATTTGTACAAATAAATAAACTAGTAATCTGTCTGTCTAACTGGTTGGTCAAACCCCTCTATAACACAATAGTAACTAAACGAATGACTAAATCATGTCAAAATGTATCAACCAATCAGACTTCCACGACTGACCGATGAAAATGCTACGTGAAATCTAATTGGCTAAGAGGGAACTGCACCTGTTCCTTTGATAATCAAAGATGGATCTGCCATTTCTTTTAATATTTAGTCATATTAATCAATTGTATATTAGAAATGCCTAGGAATGGGGTGCTTGGATGATTTGTACAAATAAATAACCTAGTCTGTCTAACTGGTTGGTTAAACCTCTCTGAGCGATTTATCTAAACAAACAAAATAAGTAGCCTATATGATTCGATTCAAGTGGTCATACATGTCTTGTGTAATTGGGTTGAAATACAACATCTTCTGATTTAAGACAGAGCTATTTAGGTCAAGGGTCAGATGCACTATTCCCTAAATAATTAAAATGTGGAATATATATCACCGAAATGAATTTCTCATATTTGTCATAACATCATTATAGTCTATGGGTTTAATGAATTTGCAGACAATGTAGTTATCTGTAACTGTCATGTAACTGTAAATTCAGTTTTAGAGGAGAATGCCATTGAATGTGTAGCCAATATGAAGTGTGTTTTCATGAGAAAAAAAAACAAATCTATCTAAAATCAGAACTGAAAACAAACTCTGGATGAAAAAAACTCCCAATAAATGTCCAAACAGCGATTCTATCACAGCAGTTGTGTTATAGAGGGGTTTGATCAACCAGTTAGACAGACAGATTACTAAATTATTTATTTGCACATATCGCACCCCAATCCCAGCCATTTCTAATATACTTTTGTATGACTAAATATTAAATTGCAATGCAATTAAAGATCCATCTTTGATTGTCAAAAGAATTCCAGCTAATTAGATTTCACATAGCATTTTAATCGGTCAGTCATGGAAGTCTGATTTGTTGATAACTTTTGACAACGTTTAATCCAGGTGCGATAAGAATTAATTTCTAGCGCAAGAGCACAGAGATTTGCAAGTGCAAAGGACACAGTTTGAGCGCGCACATGGGCACACTTTGAGCATGAGGAGAGATTTGCGATTGCAACGGACACGTTTTAAGTGCGCGCACACTCTCTAAGCAGCGCATATCTGAGAGCGCACGTCCGGTTTAGTGCAAGAGCAAAGGAAATCCGCTTGCGAGCAGAGAGATTCGCTCTCGCATCATGCAATGTACTTTCTCGCTACAACAGTGCGCTCTCGACATTTGACAGTAAAATAACGCCATACTATTTTTCATTGAAAAATGTGTCAAAGCAATTACTTTCAAATAAGTGTTGTAGTATAACAAGGAGATCAGTGATGTGTAAACTGAATTTGGTGACGCTACAGAGTGTTACTGTGAAGTTATTGAGTATTTTATTAGTACAATTTTTCGCGTTTCGCACTTTGCAGACGGTCCCTTCAGACGTTTTCCCTCAGACTCCAGCATTAAGATCAATGTATTTTGTACACAGCAGAGAAAAGCTTGTTTTGAGGAAAACTCGCTTGTAGCTAATTTTCTACATCACTACGAAATAAAAGAGGTGTCAATTGTGTAGTAAGAACGTTTTGTTCGTGATTTATTGACACAGGCCCGCCCACTCTGATGACTATAATTTTCCTGGATTTTGAGTGTGAATCACTATTGAATTCATATTTTTAAAAACAAACTGTCACTGTCTCACATAATATCAACACACCAACACACATTTTACCAACATCTTATCACAAGCTAATAAAGGCCACAATCCAATCTTTATTCCACTTTATTTTTTGTAATTAGATGCACTTTTTATTTATTTATTTATTTATGTATGTATGTATGTAGTCATTTAGCAGACATTTTACACATACAGTATGTCGACACAAATAAGTCTGTGGGAAACACTGGACTATGGTATAAATAAATTCAACTGTATAACAGTTTCACTGCAATTCATTTTATAATGTTAGAATTAAAGAACAATAAACAAAGCATTGAGTGAGTGAAGTGACATGTGGCCAAGTATGGTGACCCATACTCGGAATTAGTGCTCTGCATTTATCCCATCCAAAGTGCACACACACACACACACAGCAGTGAACACACACAAACCGTGAACACACACCCGGAGCAGTGGGCAGCCATTTTTTGCTGTACATTCACTCCTACCTACAATCCCTGCCGGTACGAGACTCGAACCCACAACCTTTGGGTTACGAGTCCGACTCTCTAACCATTAGGCCACGACTTCCCCATAATACATATGCATAATACATGCATAATAACATAATACATAATAACA